CATTTTGGACCATAATTAACCTAATCTAGCGTAATAGGTCATAAAAATCACATTTATATATTTTAGGGCCAAAAATCATCTAACCTAGCTATAATATGGGCTCAAGGGAAAAAAGCCCAAAAACCTCCTCTCACCCTCCCCATTCTCGGCCCATGCCCAAAAGAAGAGGAGAGTTGACTTTGTGAGTGCCACCTCACAATTGTTCAAGGGACTTCCATGCAAGGAGACTCAAACATCCATGTACTCACATACTTCCATGACTAGCTAACTCTTTTTCTCTCTCTCTCTCTTTCTCTTGGCCGAGTCCAAGCACATACACACACATTTCACTCTTATTTCTCTCAAGGAAACTCTCTCATATCTCATCCATATTTCGAGATCTAAGGAGGATTCAAGGGGATTTTTACACAAAAAAAATCATCATCTAAGGTAAGAAATCTCTTAGATCCTTAAGCTATCTACTTCATTTCATCCAACAATCACCTCTTAATTCATTCAAACTCATGATCTAGCACCTAAGAAGTATCCAAGTTCGAAACCTTCCAAGGAAGGTTGCTAAGGCCGAATTTCTTTTCATTTTCTACCAAAAACCGAAACCACACCCAAAGGTGAGCTCCATACCCCCCTCTTTTTCGGTTTTTATAAGTTTTGTGTGGGAGAATACAAGCAAATGTGTAGATCTATGAGTATATGTATGCCTTGTCTGATTTTTATGCTTATATGTATGATCTTATGTGATTGTGATGTTTATACTAGTCAAAAGAACTTAAAAAAATCGAGATCTACAATAAGAAGAATGAAATAAGTATAATTATACCATTTCACTATAATCAAGTCTAGAAAAATAACCTAGTTGGTTAATATGAACATTTTTGGACTTAAAACCCATTTTTGGGCTCAAAATGCCAAAAATACAAAACTAAGGGGCCCAAAATGACAAAATGTAAATTCTGAAGGTTGAGATGAGTCTAAACAGTTTCTAATATGTATTTTCTGAATATCAACACTTTCGAAGGGTTAAAAATATGAATTTTAAGCATAATGGGCCAAAATGGGCTTTTCGGCCCAATAAAGCCCCAAATTGCGAGATTTTTGATTTGGAGGGGCTGAAACTGCACATTTCTGTAAAACAGGGGATTACTTGTGTACTAAAACTATTTGAAGGGCCAAAAATGCTTTTCAAATTAAAAAGGGACCAAAGATGCAAAAAATTTCCATCTTGGGCAAAAATTGGAAAAGTTGCGAAAATGGAGGTTTCTACCGAGAAAAACTCATTTTAGAAGGACTCGAGCCGTTTATCAAGTAAATTTGTGCTAAAAATGTCTTTCCAATAAGTTTTGATACTAAAGTGTAAAGAAAAATAGTTTAAGGACTAAAATGGGAATTCTTTTATACACAAAGGGTTAGAAGTGTAAATTTTATCCAAGAAGGGGCTTAAAAAGATAAACTCTAATTCTTAAAACAGCAAACCCCTTAAAATAAAAATACGAGTACTACGTCTACCGGCGAAACGTAATAATAATTACACTTTCAACACCAATATTGTTACCAAACGAATTGATTCGGTCTCGAATCAATAACGAATCAAAAATCAATAAACAATGGTACTTCAATACACACGCGATAATTTACGAGAATTCAATACACAATATTTGGGCTCGAAAGTTTCAAATCGTGCTTATTGGGCCTAGCTAGCCCAATGACATGATCTTTAGGCCCGAAGGGAACGTGCTTACATGTTATTGGGCCTTATATGGCCTAATTCCGTGTAAAAGGACTTTCAATAGCTTTATTGTGCTGTTGGGCCCCAAGGGTCCTTTGGTACTGCTAGCAAAGTCGAGAAGTCAAATGCGTGTCGGGCCAAGTGCCTTTCGCATTCACGATAGCCTTGAACGACCTATGGAAATAACAGGGGCTTTGTACCCTCTTTTCTCCTCGGTTGTGGGGCTATGAGAAGTCAGGGTGGTTGGATTAAGTGAGTAGTACGGACGACACCTAAGGAATCGTTTGTATTTGCTAGTTGTAAACTAGTCATTTTCATTAATGCGTGATTATAACGACTCACAACCCATAATTAATCCAATGTCACCTGGAATTATCGAAAACAACGTCGTATCGGAATAACACAAACTAAGCCACGTAATTTGATGTATTGGGAAAACATTGGGTTTTCCCTAGGGAATTTAACACGCTTAACTATGTGATGTATACAAAGTTTAACAATTATTCACGTTTACAATAATCAACAAGCATACTTACGGATCTTCACACCTTTTTTTATATATACAACACTTTTTTTAGAAAATATCGGATTTTCTGTGGATTTCAAAACTATACAAATCATTTCTTTTCAAACCTTACTTATGAACTCGCCAACATTTCATATGTTGACGTTTTTCCAAAATACTTGTATTCTCAGGTAACAGGTAAATCGAAGAAAAAATGTATCCAGTGATGTCATACTGTTTGTTTAATTAGTATCGAACGGTTTATGTTTTGGGAATGTAATGTTTTGAACAATGTACTGAATGTAAACAATATCGGTTGTAATATTTCAATGCATGGTGACGAATGATGTTATGATTCATGTATACTCATTGTGATGGTATTCAATTGAGTCACAAGAGCCCTCGGACGTTTCCGCCGTCTGGTTCGGGGTGTGACATGTGAACCTACCAATGTTCCACAAGAATGTCTAGAATAGTCAGTTGTCGTCATCTATACTCTTTTAGATGACTAGTCACCCTTGGTATGATAGTACCTTAATGATTACGACCTCACCTTATGATAAAATACAGACAAGACTAAATCAAGTAGAATGATGTCATATGATTTAATCTAAAACATATATCTTAAATAGTTATAATAATTACACATAGAATTTAACCATTTAAATACATTATATGTCTGTGTAAGATGAAAGTAACTAAAGGGTCGTATTTACAGCAACTTGATGAAAAAAATATTATTTATAAGAATTTGATCATTGATAAATAAATATAATCCGTGTAATTAATTTGAAATTATTTATTTCATGGAAATATTGATTTTAAATGTTAAATATCAATACATGTCATAATATATATCATAAGGTATGATTTATTAAGTCGTGTACATCTTTTTTGACCAAAAAGGGTTGTTATCTTATATTAATTTATATGTGTTATAAGTTATAAATGTTAGAAGAGTTTTTATAGAAAAACTAGCTTCTTATTTTTATAAAATATTCAAGGAGATCATAAAGTCGACTTGTTTTTGATTAATTTATTCAAACACCATGCTCTTAGAAAGAATACCTAGTTGATTTGATAAAACATGGGTCTTAAAGTGCTAAGACCCATGGGATAAATGCTTTAAATAAGGACTTAAAATAAGTAATTTTCTCCCTTCTTTCATAGGCTAAAATCTAGGGATGATCAAAAACCGAATTGCGGACCGAAAAAACCTCATTAACTGCAACCGAAACAAAAACCGAATGTGCGGTTTTTAGTTTTATAAAAACCGAAAATTTAGGCACGGTGCGATTTTAGTTTTGCAAAAACCGTAAGAAACCGAACCGTACCGCACACACACACACACGCACACACACACACGCACACACACACACACACACAGATATATATATATATATATATATATATATATATATATATATATATATATATATATATATAGGTTCAGGTTCATTTGACACCATACTAATTTTGTGAGACCGTAAAACCAAATCTAAAAATAATTTTAAACTACAAAATAAAAGGAAAAATCCAAAAAAAAAAAATTAACTATTATTTTCAGAACTTTATTTAACTATAAAAAAATAAATAAAAAAATACCGTTTTTTTTTTAAATACGTGAAATATGCTAATAGAATATTACACTGTACATATTTTAATATGATTTTTACAATGTTTAAAATATTCTACTAGATTTGCCAGATATGTATATATTCTACTAAAGTATGTAAAAAAAAACAGTATTTTTTTGTATTTATTTTTTATTTATTTTGTTATTTTTTTATTTATTTTTTGGAAAATATATATATTTCAAAAATAATATTGGAAAACAAAAATTTCAAAAAATTTCAATTATTTTGCATTTTAAAAATGTTTTTGTTTTATCTAATAAGTGAGTGGCTAGGATTGCGTCTTACGGTCTTATAAAATTAGACCGTCTCACATGAGCCTAACCCTATATATATATATATATATATATATATATATATATATATATATATATATATATATATATATATATATATTCACTAAAAAAATTATGAATTTTCTTTGAAAAGATTAAAATTTTAAAAATATATAATCAAAATTGGATGACGGAAATAAATAAAATTGAAGAATTTGAACAATTGTATACATATTACCCTCAGATTCTTAGTTACCCACTTTTTTCTTTAATATCTTTGTAATTCATTTTCTTAATTATCATTTTACATTTTATATATATATATATATATATATATATATATATATATATATATATATATATATATATATATATATATATATATATATATATTCAACTTTAGATATGTATAGCTCCAATCTCACTATTTACTTCCATATTTATTTTTTTGTTATAGACGCAATTTCCTTCATCCTCTTATTATACAATATATTAAATTTATCCACCCTTAGCTACAGTAAAGTGGCTAAGGGATGGCAAAAATGGTCCTTTAAGTATTCTTTGTTGGTAAAAATGGTCCTTTAAGTATTCTTTGTTGGTGTTTGGGACTTTTACTAAAAAAAATTTATTTTCTTTCCTGTTTTGATTTTTGATCCCTCAAATTTTTGTCCACTTTTTTATCTCTTTAGGGGGTGTTTTATAAAATGTTTCCACCGCTTTCGACGTGTCTTACACTTGATGATGCTTTAAAGGTATTTTCGGTTGTACGTGTCAATTAATCGATACTTCTCTTTCTTTGCTAAACTTCTTTCTTCTCCGTTTCACCTTCTTGCTGGTCCCTGGTTTCTTTCAAGTTTCACATAATGCTCCACCGCCTCTTCAAGTTACTAAAATTGAAAGAAACGGAGTTCACCTCATGCATCGTCGATTCCCTATCTGCTTTACTTCTCACCCGTATATCTTCGATCCTCTCATCCAATTACACACCACTTTTGAAGGATGACCCAATCTATTGTTCATATTACTGCTGCTCCACCCCAGCCTCCCACCGCCATCGACTGCAAATCGATTTCCTCATTTCTTCGTTCTGTCGCCGAAAATCGGTCTTTCTTAACAGATCTGATGGCCGATGTATCTCAGTTTTCTCTGAAATTGATGTTACAAAGTCGGTAAACGGAGAAGGGACTGAAATCAATGCTCTGGTAGTCGGCTTCCCCCTTCACCGTCCACCGCCTTTCTCCATCTTTTATCTTATGGTTCCTTTTCCGGCTTTCTGGATAGGCCAAACGATTCCATTGATGGTTTTGCTATCCTAAGTCGATTTCGTTCTCTCCGGTGATTATGACCACCATGCCACTGGAACCACTGATTTAAGACAAATAATTTCGATTATCACCAACACACCATACGAAGTTACGAACCATCGGTGGGTATTTTACCCGCGATGAAATCGATGTTTCTGGCCATGTGGTCGACAACACCGACGATTTCGGTACTCCTCATTGGTTGTTTCTCTTTCTTTTTCTCTTCTGAACAACAAATTAAGTTTTACTGAGTTTTCGTAATTTTTTTTGGATTGCTTCAATCGATTTAGAAGAGGTCACAACATGTGGAGATCGAATACGGCCAAATATGTTCAGGTATGATCGATTTATTATTTACTCTTCACACCAATTTGTTAGTTTCTTTCTCTTTGTTGTAAAATCTTCTTTTTGGTTATCATTTTCAGAATGGTTTATCGGTTTTGGTTTTCGTGTTCCTTTGTTAAATAATCTAAACGAATGGTGGTCAATCTGTTCTTAAATAAATGAAAAAAACTAATCACAACTTGTTTGATAAAATTGGTATTATCTACTGTAATTTTTGCCTTAAATTTGCGATTTTTAGATGGATATGGAGACCCCGACGATGAACATCTTCAAAGATTGCATTAGTTATGTGCCTGTTTCCATCAACGATTGATTGGATATGTGGTCATTTGGTGGGTTGCATATTTGGTCCTTGTATTTATCACAGTTACCCAGTACCAATGTCGCATGTTGATTTCTGCTTCAAAATTATACGTTCCTGTGTTGATTTCCTTCTTTTTTTACATTTCTAATATATCTTATAGTAATACCCAATTTGCCCTCATTTTGTTCTCCTTCTATGTATGTATAAGTATACATTTGGTGCTTTTATTTGTTATTTCCAGGGTCACTGGACAAGATTTACTGAGCCAGTAGGGGGGAGGCTATCATATAAACCTCCCATTTATGACATCAATGATCCAGATCTGTATATTCCATTAACGGGTTTTTGAAGATATGTTGTTCTTGCTTCGCAGTGAGACTTCAAAAAAAAGTAAGTATAAGCTTAACCATACTATAGCATGTTATTTTTAGTTATATTGAGGCTTGAGAGAACAAAATTCTGACCTGTTTATGCAAAATGGTTGATTTGGTTTGTATTTTATGACCAATGGGTCAAATGGGCAAAAACCTTGATGATTTGGCAAAAACTTAAACAGGTAGAAAGTTGACCAAAATGTATTGAAATGATTTTTATTCTAATATGTTTTAATCAATTTTTAAGTCCTTTCGTATTATCTTCATACCCTACCTCATAATTAAGTCTGGGGTAGCTGACTTCTACTGCATGCTGATCGTAGACATGTGTTATAAAAGAAGTAACTTCAATTTGAGTTCTCATTTTGTAACCTGAACTCCCAAATATTTGCTTTTCCTACAATTATGATCGAATTACCTATGTTTGTAGATTTTAAGAGGTCTGATGCAATATATAATAATAGATTTCTATGGCTTGTATTTTCAAAATTTTGTTTTTGAATTTTTAAATTTTATGTTGTAAAAATATTAGACTGACCAAATTGTTGGGTTTGCTACATTATAATATACCAATTTATGACCAAACTGCCCCTGCATTTTTTGCTACAATTATGACCAAATTTCCCCTGCAATTAGGTCATTTATTTCAATTTTATGGATCATTTGTCCATCATCTTTTCTACAAGTACAAAATCCTCAAGAACCACCGATAATGCAATCATGCCCATCAATTCATTAGCTTAAAGAGCTACCTTCTTTATGGGAGAATCCATTATCAACCACCACTTCTTGGAAGCCATGTGCTGAAAGACGCATTGGTGCAATTTCAGGTAAACCTTAAACCTATACAGAGCTCTATGTGGATTCTTTATCATGATTATCCATGAGACCAACATTCTTATATAGTCGTTTGTTCTTGGTTGTTTACAGATGTTCCCGAGTTAAATGAAAATGCAACTCTTATTCTGCCAGTGTTAAAACACGACCAGCTTTGGAAAGACCATACGTGAGTTATATATTTATTATTTAGCCTGTTCTTGATTCCCATGTTTGCTTATGAATTTAACATTTTTCCTTTTTATGAAATTTGAGGACATATTTGACTTGGATCATTTCATTGACTACTTTAATGATGAAGTCCAAATTATGTGTGATATTCCATCATGGTTCACTGATAAATCGGAGCTATTCACAACCATAAGGTTGAACAAATATAAAAAAGAGAACCTTTAATATTTTATGCATTTATTACATAGTTTGCTAAAAAAATTGTATGCACCAACACAATTGTCTTGCAGTTACCTTCATGTATGGAAGATGTTGTAACACCGAAAATTTCAAACAAATTTTTCAATTTTTATAAAACATAATTCCATCGATATTCATAAAAACAACCATTTTAATTATCCAACAAAACAGTACAAAATCCCAAGATCATAATATCAAGCTCCGAACGTGTGTGTATACGGATCAAGTCGGCGCCTTCCCGCGGTCATCACTAGTACCTGAAACAAATAACATCAACACTGTAAGCACAAGGCTTAGTGAGTTCCCCAAAATACTACATATAACACATATTAGCCACTCGAGGCTATAACTCTGTGGGTCCGTGCACCCAAACTCTGTGAACCCTCAGGTTCTAACTCTGTGAACCTTCCGGTTCTAACTCTGTAAACATGCACAGCATCAATCACATAGAAGTAATGCAGTACAACACATAACATACATAGCATAAAAATACTCTATCACATAACTCTGGTTACCTACTCAAGGTAAAGTATAGTGAGAAGACTCACCTCGCGTGTCTCGGTAAATCGTAAACCTGAAATCGCTAATCACTCGACCTGTCGAGCTGTCGTCCCCCTATAGCACAATACACCTCTAATTAACACTTTCCCAACTAGGGTTGACCACACTATAACAAGTCAATCTAGATCAACGCTGGTCAACGGTCAACGGTCAACTTTGACCGGACTCGGCGAGTGCACTATAGCGACTCGGCGAGTCTGAGCGTATGCACCAATTTCCTGGAACCCTCCCCTGACACGTCAAGCATTCACTCATCTCGACGAGTTCCACCTGGTTACGAGTTGTGGGGCCACCACGACTCAACTTGCCGAGTCTCAAGAACAACTCGACGAGTCCAGTTAGACTCAGTCCACCTGTCCATTCTGACTCCCCCTTGACTCACTGAGTCCACCTTTCCCAACTCGGCGAGGCCACTCACAGTGTGGTCGGGCAACATTCATGCTACTCGCCGAGTCTGTTCTTCGGACTCGGCGAGTCCATGCCATGCACTGACTCAATGTTGCTCTAAAGGTCAGATCCAGTCCATTAATCCATAGATTCAGTCCCTCCAAGCTCATTTAGCACGTAAAGTTACAATCTTGATGCACATACAACCTCTATATGACCATATATGATGTTTTTGACTCAAATACTACAACACAAGGTCAAAGACTCCATTGTCACCCATAAAGCTTGATGAGTGAGGCTCTCTGGACCTCTATGGATCCAGATCCATAACCTCAACTCAAGGAGGGAACCAATGGGCATCAAATCCTCCCATAAATGACCATCATAAGCCCTAAATTGCATAATACTTCACTAAACAGAAAATGGTTCGAGATAATACCTCTAGAGTGATGATCTAAGCTCCAAATCCACGAAATAGCAACCTCCTTTGCTTCCTCCTGCCTAGAGTCCCCTTCTTCTTGCTAAATAACACACACAAGGTCAAGAAATGTCCCTTTCTCTTCACAAATCGCTCAAGAACACAAGGGTCACTCACTGAGGGTTGGGTGAGCACAAATGACGGCCATAAGGCCCTTTAAATAGGCCTCAAACCCGGAAATTTAGGGTTTCATTACACAGCGCAGACTCGCCGAGTCCATATCCTGGACTCGTCGAGTCCAGGCGCGCTCCATCGTCCAAATCCGCGTCCCTACTCGGTGAGTCTGAGCTCCAACTCGCCGAGTCCCCCTCACAATACCACAAAATTAAATTTACAAGATACCTGGTAAAAATCCGGATGTTACAGATGGGTTTCACATTAATCGAGTGGGAAATAATTTCAACTACAATGATCACAATTTACGTTTTTACCCTTTTAGTTACTTTCTGCATATTTACAGAAAGACAATATAAAAGTAATTGTATTTTCTTTTATATATGTGATATCTTTATTGCTTACTTTCTACTTTGATTTGTTTGATATATCATTTTTCGGCTAAAGCTGGACATATTTTTCATCTATGCTGATAAAATTCCAAACGCCAAAACAAGCCACACAAGATGTATCGAAAAAACGACAACTTCGGACCAGAAAGACTTTCTTGCCCTTCCTTCTGGCAATTCATATGATGTTATGTGTTGTATATTTCAATTATATATATTCCAATTTTTGTATGTTGCAGACACCAGATTTTCCATTTTGTAGCAATATGTTCAGTCTCAGTTATCACATGTATCCTGGTATAGATTTCTACAGTCTCTTAAGCATAAGGTTCCGAATAATCATCATCCCATTTAATATTTATATTTATTTACTCCATCTATTCATTTTCCAGTAATTATTCTTTGTTTTTTCCATTAGGTTAAGGATTTAACAGATCTTGCCATTGTCTATATGGATAATCTCAATGATTCACAATGCATGTAAGTTATAAGTTTACCATTGTTTTCACTTTTCACTTTTCACATAACACACAGATATAAAATTAATTTAAATCTTTTTTAAACTGATTGCAGATGTTTTTTATCATTTATTAATTATTTTCTTTTTTTATATTATTAGTGATTAAATAGGTAGGTGGGTTGACCTTGGTATTGATGCTCGGAAATATACACATGAACTTATGTCAAATTCAGTAAGTGCAATCCAAGATGAACCAATACAATGGTATGGTGGGTGGAATTATAACAACTAGGACGGATTATTAATTACCATGGCATGAAAAAAAGCTGAAACCTAAAAGCCAAGGATAAGGGCGATGGACGCACATACAGAAAAAGAGAGGCTTGCCATTTCGGATGTTGGCTGAACATGAAAGAGCCTTCTACCATTAAACCAATTTTTTACATCTCCATGATTTTAGTTTTTATTTATATATTCATCTCTTTTGGTGATTGGTGCAACTATGCTAAATATTTAACCATCAGTAACACTCCAACAAACTTCTTTCAAAGAAAAACGACCCTTATATGTATATGTGATCAAGATTCTGTTCAAGAACCATTTCTTTTGGGAAAGTACACATGCTATGTATATGTAATCAGGGTTGGTCTACAAATGAATTTAAATTAAATACAAAAAAATTATATTTTATGCACTTAAATTGTAACACAAAGGGGTCCCTATATTACAACATACTACAACATATTTTTGTATTTATAAATGGGCGAAACGTAGATAATAGAAACATATTTTACTGTAGCTACCGATTAGAACAATGAACTATATTTCCACACAAAAACGACAACCTCCGACCCCCGCAACGCGGGGGTCACCTATCTAGTTTTGATTAAAATTTCTTATTGTTTGCACGCCTCGTTTTTGTGGGAGCTTAGAGTTTACTTCCTTTCTTCATGCTTGATTTTTTGGTGCTGAGCTAGATCGGCTTTGTAGCATCTTGTTCCCGGCACATATTTCTTGTAATTAAAATTCATAATTAATGCATTTTTGCCTTGGACTCGGCGAGTTGATGGGCCAACTCGCCGAGTAGGAGTGGGATAAGGTGCGTGGACTGAACTTTGGACTCGGCGAGTCGGTCCCCGGACTCGGCGAGTGGGCAAAAACCCTAATCCGGGTGTTTGCACCTTATTTAAACGCTCTAACTTGGCCTCCTTTGTCCCTAATACTTCCAGAGAGCTCTAAAGCGAAACCCTAGCCCCCATATTGTTCTTGAGAGTGTTTTTGGCTTTGTGAAGAAGGTTTGGAGCTTAGAAGAAGAAGGAAGAGGTTGAACTGTGCAAGGAGGGCAGATAGATCCGGAATCTACACTGTGAGGAGCTTCCATTCAGGTAGAAAAGTTCTTACCTTGATCACTAGTTCATTAGATCCCCCTTTTGTCCCAAATTAGTGGTTTTCAGGTCCTAAAACCTCAAGTTCCATGTGTTAGTGCTCTATGTTCTGAAAGGACTCCAGATTTGGAACTTATGAGCGTATTAGAAGTATAAAGTTTATGTGGTTGAAGTGATTAAGGTCCCCATTGAGTGTATGACCTCATTAAGAGCTTGGTTTTGCCTTTTTGAGCTTATAGGGTCATGCATGCACGTAAAGTTTGCAACTTTACGTAATAAGCATGCTCAAGGAACATGGATCTATGGTTTGGAAGCGTTGCATGTCTCAGATTTGGCCGATATGGGAAATGGATCATAGGGAAGGGAACTCGGTGAGTTCTATGAAGGTGGCCTTAGACTTGGCGAGTTGGATGAACAACTCGGCGATTCATATAAATATTGCTTGGAAATGGGTCATCAGGGTTGAATAATCTTAGAGTGCTGGATTTGGCCCTATTGCGCAGCTCTTGTTTGAGTCTAACCGTTGTAGGGGCGAGTTTGTTACTCGAAGGATTATCTGAGCCTCATCACATGTGATGGTATTCAGGTAATAGCTAAGTGGCATTACACGGAAGCCTTCAGCAGCTGAGGACCGGGTAGGGTGGAGTCAGATATTTCCCTAGGGCAAGCCTAGGATGAGTATAGCAGTGATCAACAGTAGTGAAAGGGATCTGGTGGAGTCGAGGCAGTCCTTGAAGAAGGTACAGATAGATGTGGAAGGAAGTATGGGTCCGTACTACTGAAAGCAGAGGATCCGTACCCGAATCAAGGAAGGCCAAGATAAGACGAGGGAGTTTTTAGATATGAGGCAGACGACGGAGACTGTGGCAGAGATCACCGCCAAGTTCCAGGAGAGGGTGTTGTTGGTGCCCCAGTACGCGGGTGATGAGGATATGAGGAGGACCCGCTATCATGACATGCTACGAGCTGATATTTGGGAGCATGTCAGTTTTTTAGCTTGCCCTACCCTAGACTCTATGATTGCCAGGGCGAGGGAGAGGGAGATAGATCTGGAGCACATACGGAAGAGGAAGACAGAGGAGGGATAGACAGGAGGGGCTTCAGGGAAGAAGCCCAAGGGATCAGATGGTAGGTCGAAAGGCCAGTCAGGACCGAGCCGCTGCAGGAAATACGGCATGCCTCATGAGGGGGCATGTAGACTGGGATCGTCGGGCTGCTATAAGTGCGGCAAGACGGGGCATTTCAGCAGGGATTGTACCGCCCCTGCATCTGTGATACAGACATCTGAGTTGCTGTGTTTTCACTG